ATAATAATAAATAAATAACTCCTCAATTGCTTTGGCAATGTATTTTGTACTGATAATAAAGCAATGAAGCTAATGTGAATTAGAGAGAGAGAGAAAGAGAGAGAAAAAGATGAAAGAGAAGGAGAAAGAAAAAAAGAACGAAATAAAGGAGAGAAGAAAGAAAGGAGAGGAGAAAGAGATGGTTGAGGGAGTAAGAAGAGTGTAAGAAAAATGGAGAGAGACAGAAATAAAACAGGAGAGAGAGGGAAGAGTGAAGGAGGAGAGAGGGAGAAGGAGACACAATGTATCGGGTCATGTGATCTCACCAATAAAAGTTACATAAATGTAGAAAAGAAGGAAGCTGAAAAAGGAGAAGGAAGGAAGGAACGAAGGAGTAGAGGGGAAGAGTGTGAGTGCAGCTGGCAGAAGGGGACAGAGTTGTCAGATGAGCCAGAAAGGGGAAGGAGGGTGAGAAGAATGTGACACCCAGAAAGGAGGGGTGAGATAGAAGGAAGAAATGGGAGGAGAGAGAGGAGAGAGAGAGAGAGAAGGAAGCGTTTGGGGGACAGACAGACAGGCAAAGGCAGGACTTCCTGACGGCCGAGATGTCAACAGGCTGAGCGCAGGACAGCGGCGGCGTTGTGCCAGGAGAAGATGAAGGGTGCAGCAGCAGAAACAAAGTGTCACCGGGCAGGGAACCGAAGTTTGCCGAGCGGGGAGAGAAGGAATTAGCCGGGACACAGCGCTGGGGGAAGTGTGAAAGTTGTGCAGGAGGGAGAGGCTGGAAGAGAATTGCCCCCCCGCAACACTTCATTGCCCCCCCGGATCCTCCGCAGGTAAGTCCTCTGCCTGAGCTGTGCATTGTAGGGGTGTGAGAGACGATGACGTGTGAAGTGTCAGCTCTGTGGCACAGGCTATATATGGAGGCAGGACTGTGCTGCAGGCAATGTCAGGAGACGGGTGATATAACATTTCAGCTGCCAGATGACATGTGTGCGCTCGCTGCTACATGAGGACAAATACAACACGCTGGGGAATGACACGTATGGAGGCTGCTATGTACACTCTGTTACCTGCACAGCAATAAAACTACCCCCGCAGGGGCAGGAGAGACGTGGAGGGAGTGTGGTATGCTTGTATGAGACTAGAAGAGTACACAACGCTGACCACACAACACGCCATAGGCTGGGGGTACCGTACACCCCCAACCGACTACCCCTGTGTACTCCGCTGCACCCTAATGTGCCGATATACCCCCTATACTGACTACCCCATATACCACCCTACACCTATACTGACTGCCCCATATACCACCCTACACCTATACTGACTGCCCCATATACCACCCTACACCTACACTGACTGCCCCATATACCACCCTACACCTATACTGACTACCCCATATACCACCCTACACTGACTGCCCCATATACCACGTACACACCTACACTGACTGCCCCATATACCACCCTACACACCTACACTGACTACCCCATATATCACCCTACACACCTACACTGCCTGACCCATATACCACCCTACACTGGCTGCCCCATATACCACCCTACTCATACACTGACTACCCCATATACCACCCTACACCTACACTGACTACCCCATATACCACCCTACACTGACTACCCCATATACCACCCTACACACCTACATTGAGTGCCCCATATATCACACCGCGCCTACACTGACTGCCCCATATACCACCCTACACCTACACTGACTGCCCCATATACCACCCTACACCTACACTGACTGCCCCATATACCACCCTACACCTACACTGACTGCCCCATATACCACCCTACACCTACACTGACTGCCCCATATACCACCCTACACCTACACTGACTGCCCCATATACCACCCTACACCTACACTGACTGCCCCATATACCACCCTACACCTACACTGACTGCCCCATATACCACCCTACACCTACACTGACTGCCCCATATACCACCCTACACCTACACTGACTGCCCCATATACCACCCTACACCTACACTGACTGCCCCATATACCACCCTACACCTACACTGACTGCCCCATATACCACCCTACACCTACACTGACTGCCCCATATACCACCCTACACCTACACTGACTGCCCCATATACCACCCTACACCTACACTGACTGCCCCATATACCACCCTACACCTACACTGACTGCCCCATATACCACCCTACACCTACACTGACTGCCCCATATACCACCCTACACCTACACTGACTGCCCCATATACCACCCTACACCTACACTGACTGCCCCATATACCACCCTACACCTACACTGACTGCCCCATATACCACCCTACACCTACACTGACTGCCCCATATACCACCCTACACCTACACTGACTGCCCCATATACCACCCTACACCTACACTGACTGCCCCATATACCACCCTACACCTACACTGACTGCCCCATATACCACCCTACACCTACACTGACTGCCCCATATACCACCCTACACCTACACTGACTGCCCCATATACCACCCTACACCTACACTGACTACCACATATACCACCCTACACCTACACTGACTGCCCCATATACCACCCTACACCTACACTGACTGCCCCATATACCACCCTACACTGACTGCCCCATATACCACCCTACACTGACTGCCCCATATACCACCCTACACCTACACTGACTGCCCCATATACCACCGTACACACCTACACTGACTATCCCATATATCACCCTACACCTATACTGACTGCCCCATATACCACCCTACACCTACACTGACTACCACATATACCACCCTACACACCTACACTGACTGCCCCATATACCACCCTACACCTACACTGACTGCCCCATATACCACCGTACACCTACACTGACTATCCCATATACCACGTACACACCTACACTGACTGCCCCATATACCACCCTACACCTACACTGACTGCCCCATATACCACCCTACACCTATACTGACTGCCAACTATTCCAATATACCACTCTACAACTACACCGACTACTCCAATATACAACAACACTCCTGTACCAGCTACTCTAATACAGTACACTAAAATGAGTACCTGACTATACTACACTACACCTCCCCCAACCTCCCCAGTATAGTACATAACACCTAAGATGATCATTGTCCTGACACTACACTGTACTGGTATACTACCAATATACTACCCTACACTCAGTACACCAATACACTGTACTGCATGGGCCAACCTAAGATTCTACAGTACACCGACCCGTATAACCCCAACGCATTCCATGACACCTCTGGGACGTGTACCTTACAGCTGAGAATGAATGGCTGATCCTCTCTCCCCCTCAGGTACAATCTACCATGAGCCTCGGGAAGAAACGGAGCGGCTTTCAGATTACCAGCGTCACCAGTGACTACCTGCCGTCCTCGCCACTGTCGCCCGTCTCCCCGAACCACTCGGAACCCTCTTCATCCCCGACACCCCCTAATGGCCCCCGCTCACCCCCCGCCTCCCGCTTCCGCCTAGTACGTCTGGACCAGGACCCTCTCGGTGGAGGTCGGAGGTACCAGAAAGGACGATGGACCTGCGTGGACTTCTACCACCTAGACGTGGGGGCCCAGCAGCGAGCAGGGGCCGGGCACTCCCTGGACTCCGGGCTCCCCCGAGCCGCCCCGGCCATACCACCCTTACTGCTTTCACCGGGGGCAGGGGCCAAAGGTCAGCAGGCTCCCAGGTCTCAAGGAGCCCCGATACTGACCGGAGTGACGGACAGGGAAACCACAGCTCAGGTAAGGAAATGTTTTACTTCTACCGTCTCTCTATCCATCCTTCCTTAACATATTTCCTGACCCCCCAGGGCGCAAGGCTCCTGACAGAACTGGCCCCCCCTCCCCCCCCGCCTCCCGCCTCCGCCTAGTACGTCTGGACCAGGACCCTCTCGGTGGAGGTCGGAGGTACCAGAAAGGACGATGGACCTGCGTGGACTTCTACCACCTAGACGTGGGGGCCCAGCAGCGAGCAGGGGCCGGGCACTCCCTGGACTCCGGGCTCCCCCGAGCCGCCCCGGCCATACCACCCTTACTGCTTTCACCGGGGGCAGGGGCCAAAGGTCAGCAGGCTCCCAGGTCTCAAGGAGCCCCGATACTGACCGGAGTGACGGACAGGGAAACCACAGCTCAGGTAAGGAAATGTTTTACTTCTACCGTCTCTCTATCCATCCTTCCTTAACATATTTCCTGACCCCCCAGGGCGCAAGGCTCCTGACAGGGGCAAGAACGACTTAGGTCCAGCTACCCGAAGGCCGGCGGACCCCAATCCTCTAGGACCTGCCGAAACAGGTCCACCGAGTACTAGGTGGGGGCTCTCCCGAAGAGAGACCCCCCGAGTGCGAGGAGACAGGGGAACCAACGTGAGGGCCACAGAATCTCCTCCCCGACATCAGGATACCCGCACCCTCCGCGTTCTGCGAAGTCAAACCGTGCCCAAGCGTGCATAAGGCGCATAAGTAATAAAGTGCCTGTGCACCACGCTGACAGGCCTTAGGGGCCAGGAGTGCAAAAATATTGCCCCGGGTCTAGCCAAAAGGCCTGTCCTCAAGGCGTAGTGCAGAAAAAAGCGGGAAAGTGCCCGTGACCCTGTGTCAGTGAATCACTTGTGGGGTCCCTGGCGGTACCCCCAGGGAGCACAGAACCACGGGCCCCTGCCGCCCTCGGACACTCCGGGCAGACCAGAGGTGCAGCACCCGTACCCATCAGGAGGCATTAGTGTCCGAGGAAGCTCCCCCTCCTCAAAAAGGAGCCGCCTCAAAACACCCACCTTCACCCCAGAGAGTACTTTTTTTTTTATAAATTCTTTATTTAAAGAGGAATTTTTGTGTTTTCCTTTTACACATACAGTTCCACAAATGGGTCCAGATATGAACAACATACATGGTATCAGCAGTACATGTCAGACTTAAGTTGCGGACAAGGATAGATAACCATACTAAACCATATAACCAAAACATATGACAAATGGAAGGGGTGGGTCAATTGTCAGGGTCCAGACCCAGTTGGCAGTGAAGGGGTGTGGATGTGAGACCTCCAACGGTGGTCTCAGTATCAAGTTCGGGCCTGGATCAGGACTGGGTTTGCGGACTGGGGGCCTGGATCCCTTTTACCAGTGGGGGTTCAGTATAGTAGTGGCTGACTGAAAAGGGGTAGTCCAGGGGTTGGGGAAGGGGGGAAAGGCTGGAAAGGGATGTGGTAGGGGATGAGGTTAGTGGGAATGTGAGAGAGGGGGAGGGGTTCGGTCGGGCTTCCAGAACGGGGTGCTAGCTTGGTGAGTCACTGTACGGGGCTTTGACGCAGGGCTTCATATTCCGGGGAGAGGATGTACTCAATCCAATAAAACCAGGTCTTCCTGAATTTGTCGGGGGTATTACGGAGGGAACTGGTAAGGTCCTCCATCAGGTAAATTTCGTGAACCATTCCAAGCCATTGGGATATACGGTGGGGGGACCCCAGAGAGTACTTAGCAACCGTCCACCCCATGACGGTCCCTGCTGTTCCCCTCCGAGCGGTGATAAGAACAGATACTACACCTGATCTTAGCCAAAAGGCCGAGAAGCGATCCTTCCTGCACCTATAGGCTGGTGCCAGAAGCATTGCTCGGCTGCAGTCAGCTACGCGGGGGACGCGGACGGGAGATGCCCCTACTCAGGAGTTCTGTAGGTTGCTTCATGAGACTGATACAACCCAACGTGTTCTGAACTAGGAAGGGGTTAATTAGTACGGAGTAGGGTTAGCTAAGGGTTAATAAGGGGTTAAATAGGATTATATTGTATTTTAAAAAAATGTTGACTTTGGAACTGATGTCACACTCGGGTCAAAGGTCACAGCTTTGAGCTACATGTGAATGAAATAGTAAATACAATGTAACAAAACACTGATACATTGTATTTACTCAGGGACCCTTACAGACTATCTGTACCACAATCCTCTCTATCTTCCCTGGGGAACCTCATCTTCCGATGGTCAGGGGCGTCACAAGGGGGGTGCGGGTGACACCATTTGAGGGGTGACACCAAAATGACTGACAGTCACGGACCGAGAGCCCGACAGTGTCAGGAACTTAAGAGCGGGGTTTCCCCTCAATTTGAAGAGCTTTCCTCTCACTTCCTGTTGTGTCTCCGGCAAAAGGAAGATAAAGGAAAGACCCTGAAAGTGAGACAGACAGACAGCAACAAAGCATAACACTTTCCTGTTTTCATGACATATCTTATTCATTAAGGTTTAAATCTCCAAACAAACAGCTAAATACGCAGGTGGAACGCATGTAAGGGAGCCGTGTCAAAGGATTTGTACTTCTGTCCATCCAGTCCTGAGATTTACAGAACTCTGCCTCAGCCC